GCCTTTTTTTCCATACATTTCCTGTTTTTTTTTTTTTTGGCCCCTCACCTACAATTAATTGCTTGTTTTTTTTTTTGTTTTTTTTTTGTTCCAAATGCTTTGATCAGATTTGTTTATTGTCTGTCATCCAGGGTTAAAAACAGACAAACATTTTGTTAAATAATAACAATAATAAAGGTCATACTGTTGTTGTTGTTTGGAAATGTCTTTACATTTACAAACAAAATGTATTACATTTATCTCTATATAAAAAAAAATTTTTGGTTATTGCATAGCTTTCAGCAATAACTTAAATAAAAAAATAAAAAATAAAATAACAACAATTCATAAAACCTCACAGGAACATGCATGCTAATTAAGTTGTTACCAAATTTGCTTATTATTAGTGTTAATATATATTTATATTTGATTAGAATAAAATCCACGATTGTAAATATTATGTAGTACAGATCTGAATATAAAAATGACATGTATGTAAACTATAAATATAAACAATATTTATGTTTTTGTGTATTTACATTTGTTAATACAAGACAAAATTCAGAATATTAAAAATTTTCAACAATTTCAAAATGCACGAAGATTTGTAAATGTTTTTTTTTTTTGTATTTAGATTTGTACTACATAATATTTACACTCGTGGATTTTATTCTCATCATATATATATATATATATATATACAATATGGGGTGCTGTGTGTACATTAATGAGGAAAAAAAATTAACTTAAATGATTTTAGCAAATGGCTGCAATATAACAAAGAGTGAAAAATTTAAGGGGGTCTGAATACTTTCCGTACCCACTGTATATATTAATAACACTAATAATAAGCAAATTTGGTAACAACTTAATTAGCATTCATGTTCCTGTGAGGTTTTATGAATTGTGTTTTTTTTTTAATTATTATTATTGCTGAAAGCTATGCAATAACCAAAAAAATTTTTTTTAATATAGAGATGTTATAGAAGCTAGCTATATTTGCTATATTTTATTTTTTAAGTATTATTTTCAAATTAAAACTATTTAATGTTGTTGTTGTTGTTGTTGTTGTTGTTGTTGTTGTTGTTGTTGTTGTTGTTGTTGTTGTTGTTGTTGTTGGTAGTAGTAGTAGTATTACTGTTGTTGTTTTTATTATTAGACCGCTAGTACTAACAACAAAGATAATTGTAAAACAAATCTAAATATTAAAAATAATAAAATGAGTTGGCCTATTTTTAAAAACATGATTGCAAAAAACTAAAATTCTGTATTTAAGAAATAATATTAATAATAAAGCCTGAGGTTACGTTCTTTAAGGGCCTCAGTTTGATAATATTTTTTTGAGTTCTGATTTTTTTTCTCTCACAGGTCAATCATGAGTGCTAAAGCAGTGAGCTGCACAATAAAATCACCTGTGGCGCTGCAGATTGGAGACGCTGTATCTGATTCATCTCGCCCTGGCGTCTATATAACAGACATCACCCTCGCCGAGCCTGTGAACGTGAGTATCTCTCACATCAGTTCATAAAGATCGCAATTATTGATCGACCGGCATGGCTTTATTAATGCCCGATACACAGCTTATGCTGCAATATCTCCTGTGCTTGTGTCTAGATTCAGGAAATCTCCTTCAAGAACTACTACACCGCATATTTGACGGTCCGTTTGCAGCGGAGAGAGGACGGTTCTGCGAAGTGGGTCACTTGTTTGAGAAATTACTGCCTCATGAGCAACCCACACGCTGAGGCCGGATCACATGACTATTTCTCCATCTACAGACATCAGGTAGGAATGAGAAACAGACAGGAAACCAAAACATCGATCGTTTGGAAATGAGCAGCGTGAACATTCTGCAAAGTTTCTGCTTTTGTGCTCCACGTAAAAAAGCCCCTTTGTGGCAGTTTAAACCTTCAAGCTTTTGGTTCTTTAACCACTACTTTAAATATATTAGTGATGAACTGAAATTAATTTTTTACTGAAATACAGAAACTGAAATAAAAATTTTAATTTAAACAAAAAACAAAACAGATTTTTTAAAATAAGAGTTGGACACTGTAAACAGTAATAATAAAATTACAAAAAAAAGATTATTGGAGTATGTTTTACAAGACAATACTACTTCAGTTTTTCTATTTAAAAAATTGAAGTTTAATTCAATGTGTCACTTGTCTTTTCTTTGTAATTGTTAAATTTGTGAAATTTACTAGCAATTTCTGAGTGAATTTTTTTTCTGTGTATATAAAAATAAATTGTACATAAGGCAGTTTTTATTTTAAGCTGAAGTGGCTACAGTGATCTGACATGTCACTTTAAAGCGTGTCAAGTCAGAATTTTTAGTTTGAATTTTGTTATAAAATTTACAGAATTTTAAAACTGAGAATTGGTTTCATATCAAAAACAACAAAGCACAAAGCTTATTGTGATTACTGAATGGCAGGCGTGCTATAAATAATATTTAGTGACATTGTTTTCTCTTATCAGCTAAAAACTGTAATAAAGCAATAAGCCCCGTGAAGCCGTGGTTTACAGTGAATAAAAACAAATATATATATATATATATATATTAGATGAAAAATGAAAATATGTAAATTAATATCTAGAAATAATTGGAATTTTTTTTTAATGAATAAAATAAATTAAAGCTAAATAGAAATATCATTTAAAAATAAAAATAAAAAAATTCCTAAACTTTAAACTAAAATTATAGTGCAGACTGAATATGTAAAAATGAAAACTAAATTAAAATATATAAATAAATACTATACTAGTATATAAATACTGCAATAACACTGACACACTGATATAAATACATACAGAGCATACATATGATATATTATATTAAGTTTGTGTGTATTCATTAATTAGAATAAGATATTAGATGAAAAAAAAAATGTCTTGGCTCTTTACTGAAATAAAATAAGTTTAAGTTGTGATACAAAAATTAAGTTTAATTAATAAAAACAAATTAATCTAAATAGTTTTTTTCAAAATAAGCACATAACAAAATTACTCAAACTTAAATTAAATATATAAAAATGAAACTAAACCAAAACATTATTAAATTGTAGTTATATTAAATTGAATTATTATTATTATTAAATTATTGTAGAAATAATACTTCAATATTTCAATAGTTGAAGTTCAAAAATGTCTAAAACTAACTAATTGCAATTATAAATTTATATATATATATATATATATAGAATATACATTCTAAATATCAGGAATTGTTTAAGAAGAACATATCAAAATGACTGAATATTAAAACTAAAATTATTATGCAATTGAAAACAAAATTAAAAACTAAATCAAAATATTGAAAAATACTATATTAGTATATAAATGTCACATAAAACTCAAACTGAAAATGAAAACAAAAATCTAAATATTAAAAAAGCAGTATATAAATAATACTTCAATAACACAGATATAAATACACATAAATATAAACAATACAAAAGTGTGTGGGTTTAGAATGACATTAGGGTGAGTAAATGATGCCAGATTTTCATTTTTTGTTTGAACTAGCACAAATGATTTAAAGAGTTAAAGTACATGCTCACAGTCATAGTGTGTGGCATTTGCATGGTTTCTCTTCAAATCTCAGAGAAAACAAGCAGATAACTCAGCAGTCTTGGCAGGCGCTGTGACTCCTCTGCATCAGTAATTTCCCAGTGTGAAAAAGTGACACATTTTTGCCGTGTCACTGTTTTTGACATATTCTTTGAGATCCTGTTGGTCGGTGAAGGTCATGACAGCCTCAGCCTAAACATTTTCAATCTACTTGGAAACATTGGCTGTTTGCTCAAAATAATGCTACTCTGGGGTGGGGTGAGGTAACTTATTTAACTTTTTTCACTTCTTTCTCTCTCTTTCTTTCTTTCTTTCTTAAATTAAATTTATTTATCTATATCATACATCTGTTTTTTTAAAAGAAATGTATACTTCTGTATAGCAAAGATCAATTAAATTGAACAAAAGTCACAGTAAATAAATTTATGTTACAAAAAAGCTGTTTGCTCAAAATAATGCTACTCTGGGGTGGGGTGAGGTAACTTATTTAACTTTTTTCACTTCTTTCTCTCTCTTTCTTTCTTTCTTTCTTAAATTACATTTATTTATCTATATCATACATCTGTTTTTTTTAAAGAAATGTATACTTCTGTATAGCAAAGATCAATTAAATTGAACAAAAGTCACAGTAAATAAATTTATGTTACAAAAAATTACTTATTTAAATGCATGCTATTTTTTTTAAATATTTCCATTCATCAAAGAATCCTGAAACTTAGGGTGCTTTCACACTAGCACTTTTGGTTCGATTGATGTCAGAGTTCGGTACGTTTGGATGATGTGAACGCGGTCTTCCGAACTCAGGTGCGCACCCGCGAACCGTACCCGAGTCCGCTTAAAAAGGGTGGTCTGGGGTACGGTTCAACTGAACTCCGGTACGATTCGCTGCTGATGTGAACGCAATCGTACCAAATCACGGAAGTGAACC